TTCTTCTGGAGTTAAAGTTTCTCTCCCTTCTTAAAGCTCAAAACTTGACTTAAATCTTTTGACTGACACGGGGATCTCTCACTAGCTAGTCCGGTTGCCCAACTCATACGTATGAGAAGCCATCCAGGCTTTCCTTAAACTTAAACTTAGTTAGGGGAGTCGTAACGATTCATCCCCCTAACATCTTAAACTTATCGTGGTGACTCTTCACCATGATTCTCAAGAGCATGACTGCTGCTCATCTTAAAAGTATCAAGAGCATAACTGCTGCTCTGTCTGAAAATCTCAAGTGGCAACGGACAACGGACTGGCGCTAGTGACTAAAAACACTTAAAACGACTTCACCTTCTTGAAGGTGAGTTACTTCTTAAAAAGAACTTGTTTGTTAAACTTTAACCATAACTTATAAACGTAAAGTTTTAAAGTAAATAATAACTCATGCACATTCACTTCAAAGATAGCTCAAACAAAATCACATATCATCAACCATAAGCACAATCAAACAACGACAATCACTTCATCAAAATACTTAAAGCTCGTAATACTTGAAAAAACACGTAAGCCGTAGAATTTACCCCCTTTATACTCACCTTGAAAAGATGAATCCTCGATTCCTTACTCGAAGAAATCCCTCCTAGCCGAATTATCTCGGTGAACCTATTAATAAGCATGTCATCTCCTTAGTCGACCTTCCTCGATTTAGAATTCCCTTTTGGGTCACTAGAACATTCTCTCCTCAAAATCCAGCCCTCGAGACTCGCTCCCAAGGTCCTTTAACCCCCTTTAAAAATTTTCTAGAAACAATCCCTTCAAAACCGACCACTTTTCCTAATTATTTTAGTCTTGGATGAATTTTCCACCTAACTCGAACCTTCTTATAAATTTGGATAATAATTTTCCTACATCAATCATGAGTACCTGTACCCTGAAAAATTATCTGACCCTTAAAAAATCCTCGGGAATATTTTTATTTAATTAAAACGAATGTTCGAATAATTTATAAAAATAGAAATGCATCTTCAAAAATCTCAAAATTAAATTACAGACATATCCTAGACCTCCCTCAAGAAGTTTTAAACTCAGGAACAAACCTCCATAAAGACTTGAAACAATTTAAAACATCTAAAACTAGTTTCTGAAAATTCCCAGCAGTTTTAGTGACCACCCAAATTCTGTCACTAAAAGTCTGTACGTCTGTTGCTAAAACCTCAGAATTGCACCCTCACGAAAAATCCCCAAATTAATCGACCTAACTCAAAGGAACCCAGTTCCCTTACCTCTTGAACGTGCCTAGGCCTAGGTTGGATGACCCGGGACGTTGATCTCCTCGTTGATCGAACCCTCAACTTCACCGCTTAAAAAACGAGCTTCGGATTAGACTACCGATGAATCGAGTTTAGAAACCACGATGGGGTTCGTGATCCTTACCTAGAAACACGAAAGGAATGAACTGGGAAATCGGGATCGGGATCGAGAGCCGGGATCAACTCCTTCTTCTTTTCCTCTCGCCCGCGCGGGGCTGGGGACAGCGGCGGTTTAGGCTGGGGAAGCGGCGAGGTTTCTCACTGCTGCTGGGACAAACAATGGGGCGGGGGTTTTTTTTTTTTTTGGGAAAGGAATAGCAGAGAGGGTCGGCTGGGGAATTAATTGAGGGGGTCGCTCGGCCCCAGGCTGATTTATATATATATGGGGAGTTCTACGGTACCCCGGGTGAAATTCGGGGTACCGTATACCTTAAGTAAGAAAACGCTATCCAGAACTTGAATTGACTGATCTTTCAGACATGATACTATACTCTAACCCATAAAGATCAAAATCTTGGTCTTAATTCTCTAAATCTTATACCCCAAGATCAATTTAATTAGAAAAATAATCGACGGTTATGATTCGTCCCAATATAGGCAAAAATCAATGCACCATCTTAGGGTTTATAGTTTTGATTTAGATAATTAGGACCTAGGGTTCACTCATTAAGGGTTAGGTTATAGTATCATGCCCAAAAATCCTGCTAATTCGAGGTCTAGATAGCGTTTTCATACTCAAGGTATGCGGTACCCCGGATTTCACCCGGGGTACCGTAGAAGGCACCATATATTTATATATATATATATATATATATATATATATATATATATATTCTTTTTCTTTAATAATAATACTAGTTATTATTATTATTATTATTATTACTAATCCGCGATTGCAACTTTTAGTACGCAACTGTCAGCCCAACCGATCACGCATTAAGGTCGAACCTAAACCTAAAAGTCGGAGTGTTACATTTCCTCCACCCTTATAAAAATTTTGGTCCCCGAAATTTGAACGATAGAGCAATCACTTGTATGATGTAAGGCTGTATTTGAAGGAACGATACAAGTTGGGATATAATATTTCCCTCCCCCTTAAGAAATTTCGACCTCGAAATTTTTGGCTGGACAGAGTTGTTAACTATGGTGGAACATAAATGCATCACTGGTCTCTTCTTGAATACCGAGCAACAAGAATTACACGAGCAAGTACAAAGAGAGTCACCAACCACTGCTCTAAGCATCGTTAAACAACTCTGGGTACTTCTCTCTCATGCTACTCTCAGTCTCCCAAGTTGCGTCCTCGCTGCCCTGGTTCCTCCACATAACCTTTACCATGGCAATCTTCTTCCTCCTCAACTCCTTTTCCTGCCTATCCACAATCTGGATTGGGATCTCCTCATAGGTCAAATCATCTTCCAACTGGATGTCCTCGTGTCTGATCACATGATCTGGGTTGGATCGATACGCCCTTAGCATGCTGACGTGGAAAACGTCGTGAATCCTAGATAGGCTGGGAGGTAAGGCTAGTCGATAGGCTAAGGGTCCAATGCGCTTCAACACCTCATATGGACAGATATACCTCGGACTAACTTTTCCCTTCTTACCAAATCTCATCACTCCCTTCCAAGGGGACACCCTTAGGAATACCATATCCCCCACTTCATAACTCCGTGGGTTCCCTGGCCTCTCGGCATTACTCTCCTGCCGGTCCTGAGCCGCCTTCAAGTTCCGCCGAATCAACTCCACCTTCTCCACTGCCTTCTGTACCATCTCCGGACCCTCTAGCTGTCGCACGCCCTCTGCATCCCAGTACAATGGTGTACAACACTTCCTCCCATACAGTAGCTCATATGGAGCTGCTTGTATCGAGCTGTGATACCGGTTGTTCTAAAAAAACTCCATTAAAGGCAGATGCTCGTCCCAAGCTCCTTTCGTGGTCAAGACACACGCCCTCAACAGGTCTTCCATTGTCTGAATCGTCCTCTCTGACTGCCCATCCGTCTGAGGATGATATGCGGTAGAAAAGTGAACTTTAGTGCCCATTGCCTTTTGAAGACTCACCCAGAATCGTGTCGTGAAGATATGGTCGCGATCAGACACGATACTAAGTGGAACTCCATGCAATCTCACTATCTCCCTCACATACATCCTAGCCAGCTCCTCCAGCCCTGGCTTGAACTTGATGGGTATAAAATGAGCCACCTTCGAAAAGCGATCCACAATCACCCATACTCCATCATTTCCCCTTGGGGTCCTCGGTAAACCATACACAAAATCCATGGTGATTTCTCCCAAGTCCATTGCGGGATCTCCAACGGTAGGTGCTCAATGACTTGAGCTTTATGTTCAACCTTGATCATTTGGCACTCCAAGCATTGGTAGACATGTGTAGCTACCTCCTTCTTCAACCCTGGCCACCAGATATGCTCTTTGAGGGTATGATACATCTTAGTAGCCCTAGGGTGCATTGCATAAGGTGCAGAGTGAGCCTCGTCCAGAATATCCTTTCTTAGCTTGTCAACATCTGGGACACACAGCCTTCCTCGATACATCAGTACACCATCTACCAGTTCAAATTTGGTGTCCTTTCCTTCTAACACTTGCTTCTTGTACTTCTCTAATTCCAAATCTTTACTCTGCTTCTCCTTGACTCGTTCCTGCAGCATAGGACGAATTTTCAAAGTTGCTAACAACTTTGTCACATCCTTTAGCTCCAACTCCACGTTCATGGCCCTCAGAGAGACCAACTCCGGTAGAGGGATCTCCCTCTTCCTGCTCAAGGCGTCAGCCACCACATTTGCCTTACCTGGATGGTACTTAATGGTGCAGTCATAATCGCTCAACAACTTTTATATCCTATTCTCTCTTTTCGTTAACGGTTTAAAATTCCTTATCTTTCTCATTCATTGAATTCTTTTACAAACGTATTTGGGGTGAATTTTTTTTCTTTTCACAAGTTAAGTCTTGTAATAGATATGATATACATAGAAATTAACAGCTTTTATTTGAGCAAAACTCGTTGGCACCTACGGTTGAGATCGGAGGTATTTGGCCCCCAAAAGGGATTGGGGTTTTAGATCCTTAGAAAAAAGTTGTTCCTGGTCGGTCAACTCCTTCTGATCATGTTCAACTCCTTCTGCATCATGTTCTCTGCATCATGTTCAACTCCTTCTGATCAGTCAGGTGTTGGAGGCTCTTGTGATCAGTGAAGATGGTGAACGTCTCGCCGTAGATATAGTGTCTCCATAACTTCAAGGCAAAGACCACTGCTGCCGACTCCAAGTCATGGGTGGGGTAATTCACTTCATGGGGCCGTACACTACAAGAAAACAGAGGTTTTGTGTGGGTTATTTTCCCTATTTAGTGTCGGTTATAACCGACTCTAATTGCATTTGTGTTGGTTCACTAAACCGACACCAAGTTATCCGACACCAATCTATTTAGCGTCGTTTTATATGAACCGCTGGAGTAACCGACAATAATTTGTTTTTTGTGGCGGTTCAACCGACACTAATATCTTTTAACAAAAGAAAACAAATTTCGTTCATTATGGCTTTTTAGTGTCGGTTGACCGACTTAATAAAACCGACTCTAGTTTGTGTCGATTTTTCCCGACACCAAATTTGGTCTGTACCACCACCAGCAACAATTCTGTGTCGGTTTTGAACCGACACAAAAATGGATACAACCGACACAAAATGGATGCTCTTATTTTGGCACCTCTAATGTATCACTCTGCATAAGAAATCCATATAAAAAACACATGTTCTGAAATTGAGTAGATACATTCATCACAAGCACATCATTCTGTACTTCTAGATTACATGTTTCGGAATTCATCATAAAGCTAGAGTTGAAGATCTATTGTTTGGGATAGAAAACCCATTACATTTTAAGTTGCCACAAAACATACTCGCCAAAGTACTATCCATTCATGGTTCCTACAAATTACTTGCATTAACATCGACAGTCGGCAAGTGAAGTGGCTGCAAAATATCTTCATCCCTTGAACTTCAAATCCCGAACTACTACCTAGCTGTCATTATGAGTAGAGGAATGCGAAGAAGCTTGGTTTTGGTATGGAGGCTGAAACACATCATAGATAATGATAAAAAACACGCACCAGACTATAAGAATTACAATATCAAATCCCATTAATGTCACCAGCCAGCAGCTTTTTGGGGAACCAAATTGGATAAATCTCACATGAAACCTACATACATTTAATTAGCTACTGCACACCAAAAGACAGATTTTTTTTGTTCTCTACAAGACACCAAAACATGCATCCATACACTATATTTTTGGACTAAGCTATTCAAGCATATGCATTCAGTGCACTTCAATAGTTTATGACTTACTTGATTTGACAACGCAAGCTCCGGGGGTAGAATGATTCCCGTCTGGGACAGAACATGAGCAAGTACAGCTTCTACATTCATTCTGTGTGCCCTCTCTTCCCGTAGCTGAGTTTGTACTTGGTGAAGCACTTCCTCTAGAGAAAGAGAGCCTGTGCTACAAGAAGATGAATGATTTCCATGACACGAAGAGAAACCAAAGACCTACCAAACATAGAGAATAAATATGTTAAAATCATTCAACAAGTACATAAATGAAAAAATGTCAGCAACAACACAATTACCTGTGTAGGAGCAACTCCAGCTCCCATGGTTCGAGTACGGCCTGGATGTTCAGGACCGAGCACCTGACTAAGAGAATCAGTACGACTAGCTTTAGCAGGTACTGGCCCAGTAGCTTCAATTGCTTTTATTTTCTCCTATATAGCGGCACATAAAACCACACAAGTCAAAACCATTGATAAATTCCAACAGCATGCCCCAACAACCATAACCTAAACAAGTTTCTTAAACATATCTCTGCTGCCTTAGTACAACTTCTCTTCCCAATTTTTCTTCCTAAACAATGAGGAAAGAGTGAATTAAGGAGGACTAATGAATCTTATGCAATGTTGTCACATATTTCCAATGAAAATGAATATTAATACCATTTCCTCTTTCCTTATGCTATTCTTCTTTGAGCCACCAGTGTGAGGAGTCTCATGTTTCCGCTTGTTGATTGTGTTAATCTTGCATATTTTCTACAATATAGACAATTTGGTTAGCATATTTTCCATAATGGTTAAAAAACTGAACTATTTTTCATACCTGAGTATCAGGTCGTAAACGGTAATCAATGAACATAGCCCACTGCTCAGGAGGAATGTGTGGAGGATGATTTGTAATGTTCTCTTCTCTGCTTTTCTCCACCTTAAACCCCACATTCCAAAGCCGAATCCTATTGTTCCTCCATTTATTACCCAAATCCTGAAGAATGTAGTGGTATGCTATGTCCATTTGCCCGGCTTCAATCCAAAGTTTCGGCTACAAACATAAAGAGACAGCAACCCAAAAATTAAATTCAAAAAGATACATGAAAGGAAAGTGGGCTAGGTAGAGATTCTTCAACTGTGTGTGGTTCTGGTTCTCCTTCAACAGTTGTGCCAACAGAGGTCTCTTCGAGAGATTCTCCATGTCGAAACCAAAACTTGTAACCCAATGGAAAGGGCTTTCGTATCAAGTGATCATATACTACGTTCCTTTTTAGCCATTTCTTGAAGCTACACTTGGGGCAAGGACATAGTATGACCTCTACTCCAAGGTTGTGTGCAAAAGCAAAATCCAAAAATTTCTCTAAGCCATACATATATTCTGGTGTATTATGAGGCATAGAAATCCACGACTTATCCATTTGTAACCCCTAATAGAGTGTTAGTCCATCATGAGAATCAAAATACCATTCACACACATATATATATAAAGTGGGTGTTTGAGAAATTTTTATGCATATAGCAGGGTAGGGTTTGACGATTTAAGTAATGGGGAGTGAACTTCCTAGGGAATCTTTGAACCAGAAAGTCAGCATAGGGTACTTTACCTTAATAGATGTCGTTGTTTCTTCAACCCAAGATTCCGACTTTAACTTTCAAGTGGTCTGCTACTTTCCCTGACATATACTGTACATGAAAACAAATATATAAGCCCATGACAAAACTCTTATCCATTTCCTTCTGTGTTTAAAATTATGTTTTGGTTTGTAATCCAACATTTTTCTTTTACTGACGGTAATGACCTAACTGTTCTAATTATTCATCCAACCAAAGAGAGAGGAGAGGAGAGAGAGCCATCTTGTCCAAGTAAGCTAGCAGCTGCTCTTAACACACCATTGACGACAACTTCTCATTTTCATTTCTTTCGTTTTTTAAGGGTGAAATTGATTCATTAATTAGAAAATGGAAAATAGGGTACAAATAAAAAAGAAAAGAGAAACAGATGCACCAGTAAAATGCTTCAACAGGAATGACTACCAAAGAATAAACTATATTGATGTTCTGAAGCTTAACAAACATGTAGCAAATTAGCTAACTAATTATGGGGATGCAACATCTCATCTTTAGACAAAGAGATGAATTAAGATATGATGATCAATTATAAATATGCACCTACTAAGCTAGCAGTAGCCATCAAACTTATTGTATGGTTGGTCAAAGGCCTCCAAACAGCAAGCAATGACATGCTCAATACAAGGAACAAGCCGAGGCCATAAAACAAGACAAAAGTCTCCCGCTTCCACCAATTCACAGCCTAGTGAAGTAACTGGAACTCCAAATTAAGCCTTTTAGTATAATATTTTGAAGCTCTAAACTGTATCTAAACTCACCTCCTAACTGTCTTTTAAACCAACTACACTCCTAAGAGGAAGACACCAAATCCTTGGCAACATGACCTATCTCACTATGGATACCTAGCTAGCTAAACTGATACCGATTACTAGTAGTAGTAAGACACCAACAACCTTGAACCAAAGATTACAAACATCATGACCCATTTACAGCAGCCAAAACAAACCTAAACGCAAATACCCACTGCACTAAACTACAACTACGACAAAACTCAACTTATGCAGCAAAATTTCTTTGGGTATAAGATGATTTAAATCTATCTAGGCTGGTTGACATAGTAAGAACAATATATTAAAGAAAAGGGGGAAATCTTGGCAGTATACTAGTTTGTCTACCAGCAGACTATATCTAACAGGAACATGGTTAATCAATCTACATACATACACAAATGAGCTAAAGCGATGGAATCAACAACATTGAAACAAACCCCAAACAACAACCACCAAAATACACCAGACCCCAAACAAACTCGCACAAACGAGAATACAAAATTCCAGCTCTGTAGAGAACGACACCCGAGTTGCATAATAGAAGAGTAAAGAAATGACTTGCATAAGAACACAAGTAGCGGAGGAAGATAAACCAAAGCTAATCCCTAAGCCAAACTGTTGTTCCCATCATCCAGAGCCAACCCCATAATCCAAAACCCTAATTAAGTTCTTAAGATTCATGGAAATTACATGTACTTGCTTTCTAAGCGAGTCCTCCATAATCGCACACTCTGACCAGCTATGGAATTCGCCCACTATGACCAGCTCTTCGTCAGCTAGAGGGTGTTCGAATTTTTGGGGGAACTTTGGAGAGGGAAGGTTTGATTGGAGAAATGGGTTTCGGCGGGAAAGTTTTGGGGGAGGCGGGAAGTTTTAGTTTGGGGTTTCTCACTTCTCAGTCAATAAAACAAATCTGATCAAAACCAAAAAACCAATGAAAAAAACCATTGTTTTATTTAAAGTTAGTTAAATTGGGCATGAAGTCGGTTCAAACCGAGACAAATCAAAACCGCGACTACACTAAGAGAATAATATGTCGGTTCAGTAAGGGATACAAATTTCCGACACAAAATTCATATTTTGTGTCGGTTCAATGAACCGACAAAAGAAAACCCACACAAAACCCCTGTTTTCTTGTAGTGGTAGCTGCCTCGAAGCGTAGGCGATCACCTTCTTATCTTGCATTAGCACACAACCCAAGCCGTGGTAGGAAGCATCGCTATAGATGGAATACTCCCCACCGCTGGTCGGTAGTACCAACACCGGTGCAGAGGTCAGCTTCTCCTTCAGCAACTCAAACGCCGTTTGACACTTCTCGTCCCAACCAAATGCTTTCCCCTTCTGCAATAGCTGTGTCATGGGTCGTGCAATGCTGGAGAAACCTTCCACAAACCTCCGATAGTACCCAGCTAAACCCAGAAAACTCCGCACTTCGGAAACATTCTTTGGTGGAGCCCAGTTTGTTACAGCTTCAATCTTCTTGGGATCCACTTCAACTCCCCGTCCCGAAATCATGTGCCCCAAGAACAAGACCTCCTCCAACCAAAAGTTACACTTCGAGAACTTGGTGTAGAGCTTCTCCTCTTTCAATTTCTGCAAAACCACTCTAAGGTGTTCTTCGTGCTCTTCCTGACTTCTCGAGTAGATGAGTATGTCATCTATGAAGATGATGACAAACTTGTCCAAGTACTCATGAAGAACCTGGTTCATTAGTGCCACAAAAGTTGTCGGTGCATTGGTCAGTCCGTACGGCATGACCAAGAATTCGTAGTGGTCGTACCTAGTGCGAAAAGCTGTCTTGGGTATTGAACCATCTGCCACTCTCAACTGATGATACCCAGACCGTAGATCGATCTTCGAGAACACCCTTGCTCCTTGTAGTTGGTCGAAGAGATCATCTATCCTTGGCAAAGGATAGCGGTTCTTGATGGTAGCCTTGTTCAGCTTCCTATAGTCAATGCAAAGTCTCATACTCCCATCCTTCTTCTTCACAAATAATACAGGTGCTCCCCATGGTGATACACTAGGGCGTATGAACCCCTTCTCCAACAACTCCTGTAACTGCTCCTTCAATTCCTTTAACTCCACTGGTGCCATACGGTAAGGAGGAATAGATATCGGTGCCGTGCCAGGAATCACTTCAATATCGAATTCCACCTCTCGTTGTTGCGGTAGCCCAGGAAGATCTTCAGGAAATACCTCGGGGTATTCCTTTACGACAAGTACATCTTCTATCTTCTTCTCTTGTACCTCCTTAACATGAGATAAATATGCTTTCGCATCCTTCTTGCATCAATGAGAATGCCTTAACCGCGGAGATTAAGCATCAAGGAATAAGCTTCTTAGTCCCTTTGAACAAAGCAGTTCCCTTTCCTTCTATCTCCAGGCTAACCTCCTTCTTGTAGCAGTCCACCTTCACTCTATTCTTTGACAACCAATCCATACCCAAGATAACATCGAACTCGTCGAAGGGTAGTAGAATTAGGTTCGCCTCAAATTCATGCCCCGCCACGGTGATAAGACAATCACGAATGACCGAGTCCCCTATAAGGGTATCCCCCACTGGGGTCTTGACCCCTAAATTCTGCCGCAACCTCACAGATGGGATCCATAAGGTTCTAGCAAGCTTGGTAGAAATGAAAGAGTGCGTGGAACCAGAATCAAACAATACAAAAGCTGACTGATGGTAAAGCGAGATCATACCAGTCACCACCTCAGGTGCAGCGTCAGCTTCTTCTCTCCTCATGGCAAACAGTCTTGGTTGCCCAGATGCTTGAGATCCTTGCCCCTGATCTCGCTCATTGCGGTTGGACCGCCCTGCATTGCCTCCCTGCTGGTGGTAGGACCGGTTTGGCTGGTTGCCAAACTGCTGTCCGGTCTGAGTTCTTCCTCCTCCGCCCTGGACTGATTGTTCGGACTAAGTTATCCCCTGCCCTCCTCTCCTAGGGCAATCTCTGGGTTAGTGGCCCGGCTCGTTGTAGTGATAGCAGATGCCTCCCAGGTGCACCTTACACTCTCCCGGGTGAGTTCTCCCACACCAGTTGCATGGATCCCGAGGAACGTAGGTCGGTCCTGACTCTGGGTGGCCCCATAGTAGCTCTAGGATGGTCTCTTTCTCTGCTGACTCGGCTGTCCTGGCCCCTCGGACTGGCTAGCAGCCTTTCTCTTGTTCCCATCTCGTTGCATCCCCTCCTCATACAGAGTTGTATCCGCCCTCTCCAATCGAAGAGCCGCCTAATATATCTCTTCCTTGTTGTTCCAATTTAGTATACTCAGCTGGCGCCAAAAAGCAGGCTTCAGGCTCTCCAGGTAATGGGTGCGTTGAGCTGCTACATCCTGAAATTGAGGCCCTCCATAGGTAAGTAGCTTGTCAAACCTGGCCTTGTAATCAGTCACCCTTTCCCTGCCTTCATTGCCCCATTTCTGCCTGATTAGCAGAAATTCCCTTTGCTTCCCGATCCGGTAGGCCTCGGGCATGAAGTGGCATTTGAATAGCTGTAGGAACTCTGGCCAAGTGATGGCTGGTGGGTCCTCTTGATTAGCTGGTTGGGTAGTCCACCAGTTGTATGCAGCGTCCTGCAGCAAAGACACATCCAGCAGTACTCTGTCCTCGTCATCAGCTCTCATCTCGACTAGCGTACAAGTGACCTTGGCTAGCCACTGCTCTATTTCCATGGAGTCCGTAGAACGCTCCCCCTTAAAATCTTCAACCTTTCTCTTCCGGAAACTTACATAGTCTGGTGGACGTCTCTGTGGTGGTGGCACCGGTGGTGTGGGGTTCTGGCCAACACTTGCACTGTAGACACATAGGGTCTCGTTAGAGCTCAGTAATTTCTTCCTTAATATGGTCTAGAGTAGATTGGAAATTCTAAATTCTGAAAATAAATGCTTGACTTGTTTGGCCAAACTTTGACTTGAAATCTTTAAAAACAAAACCTTTCAAAACTGAGACCGACATTCCAATTTTCTTGGGAACCAAGAAACAGAGGAAGACCAGGCTCTGATACCAAAATGAAACATTCCACTACTTTGAACTTGGAAAAAGACATTTCTACCCTGGGGTATATAAAAAAAATCTCAAATAATACAAATTTAAATATAATACCAAACTCAAATATCTTAATATTTCAAATCGAAGCCCTAAACACGTGGGTAAAACTTAAATCGTCCAAAAGAAATGAATCTCCAATCTTTAACACTTAACCATAAAGTCTTAATAACTTAAAAATTTATCCGAAGCTTACTCTGACGCCTGGCTCGACATCTCTCAGCGACGATGGTGTTGACCTCCTTTAGCTTGCTGATCACGGATTGGCTGGTTAGGATTTCCTCTTCTACGATCTGGTGAGTGAGTTGGGGTCAGTCTACACCCTTACGTTAAAATCTATAGTACTTTAGTATTCTTCTCTAAACACTTAACTTCTACTAGTGGAAGTCGTTTTGCACTTCCATTCTTAAAAATCTTAACTCTTAAAATTCTTCGGGAGTTAAAGTTCTCTCCCTTCTTAAAGCTCAAAACTTGACTTAAATCTTTTGACTGGCACGGGGATCCCTCACTAGCTAGTCTGGTTGCCCAACTCATACGTATGAGAAGCCATCCAGGCTTTCCTTAAACTTAAACTTAGTTAGGGGAGTCGTAACGATTCATCCCCCTAACATCTTAAACTTATCGTGGTGGCTCTTCACCACGATTCACAAGAGCATAACTGCTTCTCATCTTAAAAGTATCAAGAGCATAACTAACTGCTGCTCTGTCGGATTAGACTAGCGATGAATCGAGTTTAGAAACCGCGATGGGGTTCGTGATCGTTACCTAGAAACACGAAAGGAATGAACTGGGAAATCGGGATCGAGATCGAGAGCCGGGATCAACTCCTTCTTCTTTTTCTCTCGCCCGCGCGGGGCTGGGGACAGCGACAGTTTAGGCTGGGGAAGCGGCGGGGTTTCTCGCTTCTGCTGAGACAAACAATGGGGCGGGGGTTTATTTATTTATTTATTTTGGAAAAGGAATAGCAGAGAGGGTCGGTTGGGGAATTAATTGAGGGGGCCGCTCGGCCCCAGGCTGATTTATATATATATATTTTAATGATAATAATAATTTATTATTATTATTACTAATCCGCGATTGCAACTTTTAGTATGCAACTGTCAACCCAACCGATCACGCATTAAGGTCGAACCTAAACCTAAAATTCGGAGTGTTACGCAACTGTGGCTTTTCCCCTATTCACTTGCGGGGAAGGCACTCCGGTGGCTAAACAACCGCTACTGCCCGCCTTCAAAGACGGTCGAGTGGAGGAAAAAGATCACCCATTTCGAGCAAGAAGAAGACAAGACCTTGAGGGATGCTTGGGACAGATTCTCCGACTACTTTCTTCAATGCCCTCGCCATGTGTTTTAGGAGCAGTTTCGGATTGAAACTTTCTACGGTGGACTAATCTAAGAAGACAAAATTCTCACTGACTTTTTGTGTCAAGGGAAATTCATGAATATGACTCCACCACAAGTAACCGAATTGCTCGAGGACATGGCCCTCAAGGGGTACGATTGGGGTTTGACGAGGAGTGGGAAAAGAAGTAATGATAGAGGAATGAGAAGTGTGGCACCCAACGCTCCACTTGAAGCCAATCTGGACATGTTATTTAATCCACTGTCGCTTCGATAAGTTACTATGTCACATAAAATAGGTTCAGTTATTAGGGTTTCACTGTCGTTAATAACCTAATTAACTACAAATCGATGTATTGGTGGCCAATAAACACAAAGCATTAAGGAAT